GATCAAATCTTGTAGAATTTCAATTTTTTTCTTACAAGATAACTGTGCTTTTAATCATATTAAATGTTACTTTAGTGATTATATTCTTTTAATCATCTTTGATAAATTAATAAAATAATCTAGTTTAATTTGTTAAAGATATTTGGTAAGCAATGTAACTAATGTCTACCGCCCCATTATGTAGATTGAGGCTCTCTCTCTCTCTCTTTTGGTTGAATTATCATTTCACCAATTTTTGAAATTTGTTTTAATTTTTTAATATTTTAATGTACTGATATTACAAATAAATTTTAAAAAATAAAAATATATATTATTTTCATATATTTCCATTTTTTTTAAAAAAGTAACTTTTATTACCGTGTAAAACACCTCCTTGTTTAGAAATCTTCCGACCAAATCTTGAAAAAGAATTATAGTAAAGTTATTCCTCTCACATACTCCAAAACACGTTTAGATCCTTCTTTTTTATTTTTCTTCCATGAAATGCATGCATTTAAGAGGTGTATACATAGTACACGTGATAATTGTAGAATTTTAATTTTGTTCTTACAAGAAAAACAATTAGTAACGCCTCCACTCCACGGGTATTATTTTATTTTCACAAGATGTATGCTCATACAAATTTAACTTCACACGTCTTATAAACTATATATAATTTCTAAAAAAAAAAAGAGAGAAATTAATGAATGTAAAAGACACCAGAAATGACGTGAAAAGACAAGGTAGATAGATAAATGGATAGATTAAGCAATATATATAAATAAAAAGGGAGAAACCAAATAATTGAAGCATGCAGAGGTGAGTTGGGAGTACACGCAAATTATGTTAGCGTGCGGTCCTCTCAGGGTTTCACAATCCATCGCACGTGCACTTACTTTTTCCCGATCAGCATGATTGATCAAGAAGTTGTCAAAAAAAGAGAAATGTTATCTTTTTTGCTCTTTATTTGTTTCTTCTTCTTCTTCTTCTTCTTCATGCTTTGGTGATTTTCATAATTCTCTGCAGAAAGAATGAAAAAGCAGCCGCTATCACCGGGCCTTACCCATGAAGCATGCAGCCACAAGCATCACAGTCTCATTTCTCACACCTTTTCATTCTGATTTCACTTTATTTTCTTCATAGCAATGATCGAGTTCAGGCTCAGGGGAATTAAAAATAAAGGACGAAAATAACAAGTTACATCAGGTTCTTTGCTTGCTGACACATCCACGTAGGCCCTTCAGCTATTATTTAATCTCCCATGCAGTCGATTTTACTCTGAAAAAATCCACTCCGTGCGAGTTCTTATTCCCTTCTAAAGATCTCGAGCAGAAGTTTTTGTTTCCCCAACTAGAGAATTTTTAGCTTTCATGGCAGCCATAGCAGCTGATGCGATTCAATTATTTATCGAGCAATTAAATTAAAACATAAAGTGGATGTATAGCTTATATCTTGGTGGATTAATCAACTAGAACATGAGATGGTGGATTTATTAAATATATAATAAAACATTAGCATACACAGTACACAGTTAACAAGTATATCTTTGAAGACAGTGGTTTCTTTTAATTTACTATCTTGAGAAAAGAAGGCCTAGCACCCCTTTAATTAAACAAAAATGTAAATCTCAACTACCATTCATATCTCCTTTTTCTGACCTCACCTGACCTCGATCTATAGTTAAATCAAACATGCAGATAGATTCTATATTGTAATGATGGTGGTATTCTACACTATATATTACTGTTTTTAATTTCATTTCAAAAGTTATTTCATCTTGAAGAAACAATAAATTAGAATTTTTTACTGTTTTTTATTATTTTAATAAAAAAATAAAAAAATATGATTTTATTTATTTATTTTAATACATAATACCACAATCTCAAACACCCTTTTAACCATTATATGAGCATGGAAACAAAAAAGTGCCGATCACTAACTAACAAAAAGAAATACTCCATCCATTCTTGCCTTTTTCAAGAAAAGAAAGCGAGAAAAAAATTGGAAAGAAAAAAGAAAAAGAAAAAGAAAAAGAAAAAGAAAAAGGAAAAAAGAAAGATTCATCCCCGTTCACATGCATATTTGTTTATGCTAACACGAGGGAGCCGCAACAAGCATCTCACGGGGTTGCTCGCCCCCGTTCACATTTCGAAACGGGTTACGATAAAATCTAAGTATGAAAGCTTCGACTACTTTGTTTGTCGGTTCACGACACCAAAGATTACATGCTCCCGGGTTGAATTTGACGACCGGTTCTGTTCTAAATCCGTACAAAAACTTGCCGGTCAATATTATCTTCCATTTTGCCATCTCACTCATCCATCCCAAGCGCTAAAAACCTCACCACATTATATTCTCCAACCCCAACAAATCCCAGCTTTTCTTTCACACCCCAAAAACACTCCTTTTCTCTCTGGGCTCACTTGTTCACCTACCATAAAAAAAATAAATCAGATCAACCCTACCCTAAACTGCTGTCAGACTCTAGAAGAGAAGAGGAATCCCACACTACTGTTTTTCTCTTTTATTTTTATGAAGATTTTGGTGTTTCGATTTTGAGTTATGGAGAGGAAGGAAGCTGTGAAGGTTGAGAATTTTGTTGGTTCTCCAACGTTTAGGTCTACTACTGATCATGTTCAAACTAGTTATCCATTTATGCAGGGTTTTGACTTTGTTGATGATAAGAGCTCTTTAGGGTTTATGGAGCTACTGGGTGTGCAAGACTTTAGTCCTTCTTTGCTTGATATGATACAGGTACAAATACCATCCGTGCAGACTCCGAGTGCTCAAGTGGCTACAGAGGTGGTGGAGTCACCACCAGAGGTGTTGAATCAGCCTGCAACACCCAACTCTTCATCTATCTCATCGGCTTCTAGTGAGGGTTTGAATGATGAACCTGTTAATAAGGGTGTTGATAATGAGGTAGAGGAGCAAGGAAAGACCAAGAAAGAGTGAGTTTTGAGTATTTTATGGTACTTGATTTTTTCTTCAATCTTATGTTTTGGAGAGACCCATCTGAGAAAAGAAGATGGTTTTTTGTGTGTCTGTTTGGTGTAACAAACCAAACACTCCTTTTAGACTAGTGATCAAGAAAATCGAAGTGGATTTCTTTTTGTATAGTGGTTAATTAGAGGCTACGGTTCTTCTAATTTGTTTGTTGGTTTTGTGCTTTGTTTTCCAGGTTGAAACCAAAGAAGACAAATCAGAAGAGACAGAGAGAGCCGAGGTTCGCATTCATGACAAAGAGCGAGGTTGATCATCTGGAAGATGGGTACAGATGGAGAAAGTACGGCCAAAAAGCTGTGAAAAACAGCCCCTTTCCTAGGTACAAACTCCAATGTGAACTCTATTCTTCTAGCCTTTTACTCTCTTTGCTATTTGACTGCAGATTTGGATAAATCTTAGTCCAAATTTTAATGGGTTTGCATTGTCCATGTGTGTTTGATTTAGGAGTTACTATCGTTGCACCACTGCCTCATGTAATGTCAAGAAGAGAGTCGAGAGGTCTTTCAGTGATCCAAGCGTAGTTGTGACCACCTATGAAGGTCAACACACCCATCCTAGCCCAGTTATGCCACGTCCAAACTTTACTGGATCTACATCTGATTCTGGTTTCTCTTCCACTGCTGCCTTTGCCATGCCAATGCAAAGGAGACTCTCTCTTTATCAACAACAACCGCCTTTCCCTCTTGTCAGCTTGTCGCCTTTGGGTTTTGGTTACAATGGAAGTACTACAAATGCTCCTAGTTATCTACAATATGAGAATCGCTTTTACACCAGCCCAGGATCTGCTTTACATAAGGATCACGGGCTTCTTCAAGATCTCGTCCCCTCCCATATGCTGAAGGAAGAGTAGAGGATGAAATATGTCACTGCTTTGTAGTTTTCCTAACTGACCTTTCTAGAGATGGTGTAGATGAAAAGCCCCTTTTACTGATATGGTTTCATGGCGTGGAATTTCTTGCTGACTGCGTTGCGGCCGTGATTTCTTCCAGTTGCACAAGAACTCTTTAACACTTCATCTACTACGGGTTCTTAGCCATCATTCTCAAGACTAGCTTCTTACTGGCTGGGACCAGTTCTCTGGCCCCCCTTTTTGTTTTTGGGTTTTCCCATACTTCTCTGTTTTGTTTTCCTTTCTCCCTTAGGTTGTAAGTAGAGATAGAAGACACCATGTGGAGTAAACTTGTAAGCTAGTATGAGTCTACAGTCTACTTCTCCTTTAATGCTTTTACCCTCTCGTTTGTCTTTTACCATTTGTTTTTGCATTGATTTCTAGAGATAGTGTGGCAGTGAAAGATTTTCGAGTGCTAGGGTTTCCGCATGAGGGTACGGTTACTAAAGAAGCTTTCCTTTTTGTCTAGGAATCCGCAAAGCTATTTGTTTTTCTTGGAAAAGAGAATCCAATCGTGAGTGTTTGGTGAAGATAGTTAATGTGCTGTCCCTAAAAATAAACCAAGGGGTACGAAAGAGGAAGAATATCTTAACCACTCCATAGTCCATACCCCATTTGAGCTCTGCTAAGCGATGGCTTTTTGTTCATTTTGATTTTGATTGTTATGCCCATGCACAGGCCATTCATTTGTTTGGTTCCTCGAAGACTGGTGAGCTAGGGAACCTAATAAAGCAATGGAGCTTGATCACTTTCTGTGGTTCTATGCTTCTGCACGTGATCTTGTTTTTCTGGGAATATTTGTTTCCCTGTTGGATCCCTTGGCATTGTGGCGCAGCTACGAGAGGCGAAAACACGTGGTGTTGCTATCATTGTTCAGGATGCCGATATTGGTGTGCCGTCAGTCGCACCGAACCATTTTCAAAGAATTTTATGTCTGCCAGTCACAATTCATGCTATTTTCAGATGAACGTAATCACGATTTTACCCTAAAGCAACAGTTGGCTGCAGAAAGCCAAGAGTCATGAAAGTTCTCAATTATCCTCGTATCCGATATCCATCCAACTTCTATACCATATGCTAACTTGTGGATGTTCTTGTCGGCAGTGTCATGCTAAAAAAAGCCCTCATTAATGATCCAAGAAACCTTCATAAACCTTCTTGCCTCAACCTTCCATCAATAGTTATACATTATCAGAGCCTTAAAAGCATACACACATGATAACTTGCCATCAACTCATCTCATCGTTTCATACAGCAAAGTGTACAGTTATAAAGGCAATTTGATTTACATGTTATTGAAGATTACATTACTCTTGACGACACCTACCGACTCAGTACTGAAGCTTTAAAAGTGCACAATGCTGCAGCCAGGGAGGGAATATCAGGTAGCAATGCCCTTCACAGCAACGTAGGCCACAAACTCAGCAAGAAACAACTAAATTATGTATTCCTGGAAGATGTACTCAGAATAACTCACTAAATACCCAAATGCATGCCATCTATGCTTTCCACTAGTTCTCCTAGGAATGCTACTTATGATGCCTGATTTCCAGAAGTGCACATCTACAAATGGTCACATGAGAAATGAAGGGAAGATGATAGCCTCAAATATGTTTTTACATTTAATCTGCAAGAGGAACATGTACAGCCATGAGAAATCTAGCGCAATTTGCAGAGATTAGATTTCTTTCCACTTTTTACTCTTCTATGAAAAGAAATAAAAGAAAACAGGGAAAACAAAGTGAATGAGAAGGACATGCTGAAAAACATAATATGCAGCTTAATGCTCTTACTTTTCAAATATTATTACCAAAACTGGTTGGACACCAGAACACAAATTAGAGACAGTCCAATATTAAATGCCATAGATGACTGATATTTCTAGTATATTTTGGCTTACCAGAGGTCCACAGTTCTACAGAATAAGGCCATAAATCCAGAACCTCCAAGACCTTCCACGCATGAAATATGAAGCTTACAGCTAAATCCTGTTATCTGAAATACTTGCCAGGCTGACAATATTAGGGAGGCAGAACTCAGAAGAATAGATAAAACCAAAGAAATAACTTCAGACAGCCACTTTGAGCAACCTAATCTCCTGAAATAATTGCACAAAACAAAAAAGATTAACAGCCCAAAATACTACAGAGATCCAGTAAATGGAAGTTTAACACTGCATACCTGTTAAACACAGGAGGGATCAATAACAGGACTTGTTTCTGATTGTATTTGCATACGATCTAGTTCCTGCAAAAACAAGCAAAGTGAAATGAAGATCCCCTTGCAAGCGCTAGTTAATGATCCAAAAGATATGAACAACAAGAAGCTTTAATATGACTAAAATAGAGAGAACATACAAAAGAAAACAAACTTTCATTTGAGACCATGACAGAACTCAATTTTTCATCAGATTGGATGGTTAGTCAAAAAAATTACACATCTAATCTTGGAATATTCCAGAAACTGAGAAAGCAAGGTGAATTTTACAACATGAGTGCTAATCAAAGTACTTTAACCAGGTTAATTTGTCAATTCTGGAACTTGAAACGGAAATACTCATAAATCTAAACAGAAGACTTATAAAACCACGTGCAAAATAAACACAATCACTCATGATTACTCTAATGATCACTGATCTTTGCCAACTATAAAAAGAAGCTATCGATTCAATAGTTTAATGAGAATAAACAATGATAGGAAACCTTCTAGTTTTGAATTGCCAATATAAGAAACTTCTGAAATATAAAGCCCAAAAGGAAGGATAAATTTTTTTCCTGACTTGGCTATCAAAAAAAAAAAAAAAAAAGAAAAAAAAGTGTAAAGAAGAATTTTTTTTTATCCTTTTCTGATGAGAGATCAATATGGCTTTCCTTGGAGATGGAAACGACCCAGTCCAACTGCATACATTCACAATTTTGAAGCAATTTATTGGCACAACTGCATACATTCACAATTGTGAAGCAATTTATTGGCAGTTGCTTTTGTATTCTCGTGGAGACTACACTTGACATAAGTGCTTTAGCAATAGCAAAAAGAACATAACCATATGCAACATAATGCACAGATACTTGACTAAAAGCAATGAGTATTAGTCCTGAAAATTAAAGGCAAGTTCAACTTTCCAGATCATTATTTATTGAGGGAAGACATTCCAATTAAATTTCTTGAAACACTTGACAGACATTGAATTCTAGCATTTTCATGCCTGGTTAGTGGTTAATAATCCAACATGCAAAACAGCACTAGTAATAATATAGGAACCCAAGTATAACAGTTTACTGAATGGCACAGACAGGGAAGATTGTTGGAGTTTCTAATGCAAGAGATGCATCTCCAGAAGCACCTTATGTGTTTGATCAACTTCCTCAGCAGAACAAACTGGCGAGAGGGAAGATTGCTGGTTTGAACCATGCAGCCTTTTCTGTTCCTGGAATTGTTGCAGAAATAAGGTGATCTCCACAGGCTTCTCCCACTGCAGGTCAATTTCAGATACATTGAATCACATCTTCTGAAATTGCGACTTTTTTTCCTCAGAACATGTCATAAGATTCCATTAACTGCCAACTGATTTAAAACTAGTGATCATCAATTGTTTGGTTTGGATCAAGCTCAGGGTTGGGATGACCATAAAGCAAATCCAATTGAGAAGGATGAGCTATGCACAATCCACAACATCAAATCATCCAAAATGAAAACATCCAATGGTTTTTTAGTTGCATTACGAAAATGACATTAACATTTATCAGAACCAAAAATATTAGCAATACCTATAGTTAAACATCATTACTTCACGAAGTCCACTGGCCTCATTGATTCCATTCCTAAATGAAACCAGTCATCAATAAAATTCTGTGTGCTGCCAGTTTATAATGGGATGCAATTTTTTAATCCTAATCCAACCAGGCTAGGTAATGGAATTAGGTTGAGTTTGGGTTTGTAACTTGAATTGACTTCTGAGAAGAACCTTTTGAGTACCAAAATCAAGAAAGAAAGTGCGTTCTGGTAAACAAAAGCAGATAACTTACTCTACTTTCATTGGTGATACAATTATAATAGTACTTGTATCCATCTGGGCAGAAATGCTCACTCCAATCACACTCTCCTGGATCCACGATTTGGGGACTGGGAGGCACTGCAGAGGTGACAGAGTTACAACTAGCTGGTTGAGTGTTTCCAGCCCAAGTTGGCTGCAGGAAAACGTTGCCATTATTCATTTGCATTTCTAAAAACCAGTTCACAGCAGTATAAAATAAACGCAAATAGATTCAGAGGTAAATAATACATCAGGAAAATGTCTATAGTACTTGGATAAAATATAAATATGCTAAGAGAGATAATTCTACTACAGACACAGAGGAGTATCCTCCACTACTGGTTAGCCCATCTACAGATTTTGATTCAGAAAAGACAATCCAATTAATCAGTTAAAAATCTCCTTGCAACAAAATGACTTGAATAATGACTCGAATGAGAACTAAATAAATGTTGATAGCTACCTCCTGCAGGGCAATCTGTTGATTCTGCTGCTGCTCTAAAATTTGGGTCTGTTTATGTGTCTCAAAAATTGTTTGTTGAGGTGATGGAAAACATTTCTCTGGAGCCTGCATATGCTGTAGTGGCATCTGAGACAACTGTGAAGGCGAGTGCTTTACTGAAGAAAGTGGTTGCTCTGTGATATGAGGAGATGCAAGTTCCTGTTTTGCTGCATGGGCAACAGCTTGTGGAACTCCAGTCGTTGAGGTTTGTTGCATAGAAAATGAAGCGTTAGGCAAAACACACCCAGGTGCTGGCCTGCAGCAAATAGACCATGGAACAGAAACTGAATCTCATGTATGCAAGTTAAGGCAAATACACAAGGGAAAGAGAAATTGAACACATGAAACGCACCTGATCATTGGTTGTTGAAAGCAGGGACCAAAATTTGGACCACCAAATGCATAACTGCCTCTGTAGAGAGAAAAAGAGACTGGTTAAAGCAGCGGACAATAAGGCAACCCATAGGTGTCTTCTATTGTCCAGGTGACTGGGTGGTCTTCCAGGTATGCCAAAATAGAAAAACAATAAAAAAGAAAAAAACATAATTATTTTGTTGTGGTTTGGCATTGAAGATTCATCATCATAGAACAAATGCAGCCAACTTGAAAAGGAAGAGACCACATACAGCGGACCATATAAAACCAGTCTCTTGCATCGTCACCATTTACTTTATGATTGACTTGCAACTTATAAAAAGCAGAACACAGGTATTTTAGCATGGATCCAAAAGTTCGTCAAAACATGTATAAGGACACAAGTACAAAGGATGACAAAAGAATGCAAAACCTTAATTCTCCAGTCTTAGGTTTTTTGGGATCTGCAAAACGAACAATCAATGGCTGATCACACCCCTAAAATGACCAAGAAAAGAGAAGGAATGATTAAATATGATTTCAATGAACAATCAGAGTTCTGATACATAAAAGGTAATCAATCCCTTTAAGAAATCAATCACTTTACTCTCATGGTAAGAGTTCCATTTAATCCTTTGATTGCTGCCAGTGCCATATCTCTGTGAGCAAACTTAACAAATGCACATCCTTCACAAAACACAAGATCATCATGTCAGAAACAGCACAAATTAACAGCGAATGCAACCATGACATTCTCTCTAAATCTTCCCATATAATAACCAAAAGTAACTGAGAACATAAGAGAGCAACACGAGGAGCTCATGGCATTATTTCTGGACTACAAATGAGATCTTCCACAGATCAAGGTTGATAAACATTTGCACCTACAATCAGACTGTTCTGAAGTTCTTGCCTTTTGCTTTTCCCCTTATTTCAATTTTCCAGTAAATGACACACATAGAAACCAGAGGAAAAATAACAATGATTGGTGTGTTTATTATATGACACTACATACAGCCGTGGAGATCCGTGGGTGAATCACACTACTGGGGAAAAATATGAAGCAGTATAGCATACATCAAATTCTGATATGTCGATTCTTATAAACATATTTCAAGGGATAAGATAGCTCTAGAATGACGAATAAGAGAGAGTGGACATACCACGACTTTGCTTCAGCTCATCACGTGCAATGTAGACATCTTCCACATAACCATATGGAGAAAATATCTGACATAGTAATCATTCATAGATAATCATAACACAAGAAGAAAAGGAAAAGAAAAGAAAAGACATATTGTGTTTAAAGCTAAGTTTTGCAAAAGTCAGGTACATGCTCTCCAGCAGTTGATGCATGCATGCATTCACATGATATTTACTTTCAGGTAATATACCTACATTAACATGCACTCTCCAAGAGTACAAAGATACTGTTACCTATGCACTGCATAAAATCACATAGAACAGCATGAAAGCCGCAGCCATTGTTTTTACCTTCTGAAACATTTTAAAACGATGTCATTCATTTGCATACACTGCCTTTCAATGTAATGCTTATGAATCTGCAGCTGTCACTTGCCCACAGTGGCGAATAAAAAAAACAGTAGCAGTAGGACAAATAAAATTTATTTTATCAATGTAAGGCTGGAATATACTTGAATGCCCCACAACTCTGGTTCATACCTCCTCAATTTCCTGTTTTGAAGCCAGCTTGTTTATAGAACCAACATAGAGCTTGTCCACAAATCCCCCTACCACGGAACAGCGGGGAACTAAACACAGAGCAACAAAACAAAAAATAATGTCAAGAAAAAGAAAGAAGTGATACACATTTCAGGTGAAAAAAGCTTCCTGCACAAAAACATGAGAGGCGTATTGGAAAGACAAAGCTAGTAATGATGTTCCCTCCAAGCAAGGAATATTACCAGTGTGAAACCCAAAGCATATAACAGTCGAATTTCTCATTTTAAGAAAAATGAAAAAGAGATGCAAATCTCAAACAATATTTATTGCATGTGGGAATGCAGCATGTTGCTGCTTAGAAGTATGTTCAAGTTAAGTTGAACAAGTTATTTATAATCATGGCCCTCTAAGGGCATTTAGTTCAACCATGTTTATTCCTCAAGAAGCAGCACACTTGAGCTAAATAAAATTCTGATCTTTCCAGAAAGACTGGAACTTCTTATGATTGTTAAGATAGAAATGGACTCTATTCAGGAAAAAAAAGAGCAGCTGTGCTGCATATCCATACATCTGCAGCAGAAATTAACTAATTGGATCATTCTGGAAACCGCTCCTAGAGGAGAGTATTCTGTATCATTTAGCAAATGCATACTCATAAAAAGAACACCATTAACATAAATCATGAGTATCAAATGCTAACCTGGGCGTTCCCGTTCCCGTTCTCCATCAGCATATCTGACTTTAAATGGAACCACTTCCTGAATAAATAAAATTTACAGAGCAATGAAATATCAAATTGCAACTAACCAACAGCAGCAGAACTTCTTATTCATCATGAATATCAACTGATGAACTCACCCCAGGAATCGTATGCTGATTATGCAAAGCCCTAATAGCCCTGTCAGCTTCTTCAAATGTTGTGTATTTCACAAAACAATATGCTGCAGAAATAAACTTGCACATGAAATTACTTTTAATGTCAAAAATTTTATACAGGTACATGAATTTCTAGAATTAGCAACATGTGGAGATCAGTGAAAAATAAAACTGAAAAACCTCAAAGACAATCTACAATGTTTAATGCTTTTATGTTTTCCCTACTTAAAAAAAATGTCTTGGGATAATTACAGGTGCAAAAAGTATCATGATTGAGATAGCTGTTCTCATGTCAATGCAAAAGCAGCTTAGTATATACATAAGAAGGCACAGATCAGTCCACTAGATAGAGGACCACCAAGAGTTATAATTGGAGGTTCCTGGGGTGCTTAATCAGAGATGTGAAACAATATGACGGCAACTCATAAATTTCCCATAGCTAACAATAACAGCAATAGATGTCAGCAAAACTATCCATCTAGCATTGTACAAATAGTTGTATCAGTAACAAGTACAGTATCTATTGATGTTAATTCAAACCTTGTTTCCATCTTGATTAGTAAGGTTTAAACTTCTTCCCACTCACCCTATAACACCTGAACTAAAGCACAGGCACTATCAAGTTTTGTGACAGCATTTCTACTTCTCTCTAAATGCCAGCAGCAAACATCTAAATCCCAAGAACTTCACTACAATTCCAGGAGTAGGAGCAAGGGAAGTGATTCAAACAACAAGAGATTGCAATAACAAAAATAAACAGTCATGAAAAAAACAAATACAATGAAACAACAAGACACATTCAACATATATCCTCAAGTTTGAAGAGTACATATTTTCAAATCAATAAGAAAAGAAAAACATAATTTCTAATTTATAAACATCCATAGGCACCAAAACTAGCTTCTCTAGGACAGGTGACCCAGGCTGCACAAGTTTCCTGTTTAAAATGGAGTATCAACTTCACTATATAACCTATCAATCCTTACAGACAACTGATTATCATATACTAAAGGCAACCTATTAACATTAGGTGACATAGAAGTCCCCAATTTTGTGCCACTGGCCACACCCACAAGTATGCTTCCATATTAGCCCCCCTAATAGCTCAAGAGTGACATTTGTTGAAAGAAAATCACACGAAAGATGGAGTTCTGAAAACAATTAGTCATACACGAGACCAATCAAACCGGCAACACTAATTGTTCATCAATACTCAGAAAAATAAACATTCCACCTCAAACTAACCCCAAGCTTTCAAAGATTTAATTCTTGTTTTTGTGTTTTCCCAATGTTAACAGTGAGGATTGCCCATGTAGCAGCTACTTACATCAGGCATTTGATATGGAACAAAAGTTCTAGAAATTAGACTGCCAGCACCAGCCAGTCAAGATTCCTACCATATTGAAAATCATGCCAACACACACACACACACACACATGCTTTTCAAACTTCCCAGCTGTTTTCTTCTAACCGTACATGATCATAGATAACACATGACCTAAGCACAACCTCTCCTCTATAAAGAAGTTGTAAATTAAAATCCTTCTCAAACTATCAAAGAGAAGTCAGTTCTAGACCATAAAAAAATTTATCAACTAACAAAAGTATGACATAAGCCTGTTGGTGATCCATTCAGAGCCTCAAAAGAGACATTGATACCAAATGTTTTTGTAAAAGCTGCCCAGTAAAAATTACAAGTACCTTGTTGCTGCCCAGTCCGCTTATCCCGGGGTAAAACAACCTCAACAACACTTCCATGTTCTCCAAACAAAGAGCGGATCTAACAAATAATTAAAATCCGAAAGATCATAAGAATAATAGAAGCAGCATTTTACTTTAAAAAAATAGTTATAAGCAGCATAGATGTGACACCAACTGCAATTCTTTTGATAAACCAGCAATTTTCTTGCTGCTTAGAACCTATGTAGTGTAAGTAAATTTAGTCTTTATTGCACAGGAACAACAAACACGATCATTTTTTATGATTCAGAAACCAAAAACAAAAGGGCTTTGAAGAGTGAAATGGAATAAGCACTTACATTTTCTTCAGTCGTTGTTCTTGGAATTGGTGCGACATAAAGCTTTGCATTAACACCACCATCACCGTAATCTGAAGAGGAAAAAGAAGAAGAAGAAAACAAATTCAGTCCGAAAAAATCCGATTCCATAAAAGATTGGCAGCAGCGATACAAAACATACTGGAATTATTAAAGAGAGTGACTTTGCATGAGTGAAAGAGTACCTGAAGAATGGAATCGGCCTCTTTTGCGGCCATTGGGGCGGAATAATCCACCACTAAATGGCTCGTTAGCTTCACCACTCATCTGCTGATTAGAGTCGTAATTATAATGGCTGTGGTTGTGGTTGTTGAATTGGTTCTGGTCGGGGTGGTGCTGGTTAAAGTTGGGATGCTGAAGCTCGTGATGCCGTTGATGGTCTCCTCTGTGTCTTTCCATGATCAAAACCCTAAGCAAAGAATACTATGAGGCAGGACAGGCGAGAAGAAGAGGGCGAAGACGGAGACCTCTCTCGCACACATGTATAATTTCTCTTGCGGGAGAGAGACTTAGATTAATGGCGTGTGCAAATCACGTGTATCATTCAAGTTTTCTCTTAAAAAAAAAAAGTTTTATAAAATTTGAAAACAAATTTTTAAATTTTTTTTTTATGTTTTTATTATTTTAATATACTGATATTAAAAATAGATAAATAAATATTATTTTTATATATTTGTATATAAAAATATTTAAAAATAACCACTATATAATATAAAATACTATTTAAAAAATAATATATCACTATTTATTGTAAAATTGTTTTTTGTAATTTTTGTAATTTTATTTTGGTTAAAGAATGTATAATGAATTTTGTCCATCCCTAATTAAACCTATTCCTGTGAATGAAAAATTGTAAGGTATATTTAATTTATTATATTATCCATAAATTAAATTAATAGATATAAATTATATAAAAAAATCATATTAAATAAACATCTTATATTATATTTTATTCCTGTTTTTTTTATTTATTTCTCTGATTTATGGATAATATGACAACCAAGTCTAGCTAATAATTTATAATGTATTTTTTTTAATATGTAACAGTTTCAGATATATATATAAACAACGAATTTATCTTCTTCTTTTTTTAATTTTAGCCTATGAAAAATATAAAAAGACAGTCCAAGTTTTTAAAAATTTTAAAATAATCAGACAGTGGGTAGAAACAGACTATGAATGTCATTAAATTCTTATATATTTAGGAATTGTTTGGTTTTATATTTAAAAATATTTTTATTTTAAATGAAATTTTTATATAATTTTAAATTATTTTAATATACTAATATTAAAAATAAATTTCAAAAAATAAAAAATATTATTTTAATATATTTATAAATAAAAAAAATTAAAAAACAACATTCATACCGTTATAATCAATGCCAAATCAATAACCAACAGAATTTAAGTTGAACAAAATGAGGGAAATTTTCTCGTGAGGTCTTCAAAGAGAGAAGGATGCCATGTCAGTAGCCCTAGCCCTACCGTGCATCCGAAATTATAAGAACATCGGGGGCAAAAGAGAAATAAAATGCAAATCATAAAAACGATCCCTTCCCAGCCAACGGAGGGTGTGGAAAACCAAAACTAACCCAGCCCAGTAGCCCTAGTATTTTCCTTCTCTGCTCATCGGCGGCCAACGCATTGGCTTCACTCTCTCTCCTCTGCACGCCGCTCAGGTAAATGTTTCTCACCTTCGTCGTCTCCGATTTACTTACTTTTCTTAAAATCGGTAGTAGAAATCAGAAAGAAAGAAAAAAAATTGCAGTTTGCTTCAAGGTCTCATTTACTTTGAGTTATTTTTTTTTCCCTTCATCGAACACAACTTTTGAATTCACAATAAAAAAGATAAACCTGCTAGTTACTTTGGATTTAGGTTATTTTTACTTCCTTAACCGCATCACATGTAATTATACTGACACAAAAATTTCTGGCTAATCACTTCCACTTGGCATCCAAGAACCAGGTGTTAATACACTACAGCAGTCGAATTTATGAACAAGTTCAAAATTATTGTGAAATTTGTTAGTCATGTAAAAAGCAGCTTCAGTTGTTCTTGAATAAGTTTCCTGTTAACTGGTTGGTTAGGGTTTTTGTTTTTATTTGTGATGAGGTGTATTATTGTTTTTTTGACTAGGTTGAGTTTCTTTTGGAATGGCAACACGGCCGAATCCAGATATTGATGATGATTTTAGTGAAATTTACAAGGAGTATACTGGTCCTCCGAGTTCTATTGTTAGTAATGCACACGATAGGGAAAAGGTAAATAAAAGATCCCGTGTGGACTCTGATGAGGAAGAGGAAACTCCTGACCCAAATGCTGTCCCAACTGATTTTACGAGCCGAGAAGCTAAGTTCTGGGAAGCTAAATCAAAGGCTACAGAGCGGAATTGGAAGAAGAGGAAAGAGGAAGAAATGATTTGTAAAATATGTGGAGAATCAGGTCATTTTACTCAGGTATTGCGCTGCTTCTTGGAAAACAAGTTGGTGAATTTTTTAAATGAGTGCATTGCATTCTAAGTGCACATTTATTTTTGAATTCTCTCTTTTATGTATACAACAAGTCATTTATTTGTGATTTCTAACGGGATGGAATCTGCAATAACCATAAGGAAACTATGGTGTTGTATATGCTCTAGTGGCTCTACCTTTGAATCTATTTTGCCTTTATGCCGTATTTACATGACAGCTTGTGTTTTTGTCCAGGAAACCAGCTTGGACATGCTTGAGAATTGAACTTGGTGCCTAAACTGAATAATGTTTTTAGATTAACTGTTGTTGGATGTTCATGACTTCTAACTAATTACACCAATTTGATTTATGCTTCACTTCAGTGTTTACTTTTGGGGCGCAGCATAAGTTTACTGCTTGAAAAACACTGACTCACATGCACATGAAGAGGATTGCCATCTTGTTATTCTTTTCTTTTTTACTTGCACTATCCAATGTCAGAGGCTGAGTTGGTTGTATTTTTTTTTTGTTTTATTTCTTTGATCTGGGATTGAATGTTGTGCCATATATCTGGTTCTTGTAAAGGGATGTCCCTCAACTCTTGGGGCAAATCGCAAGTCTCAAGATTTCTTTGAAAGGGTTGCAGCAAGAGACAAGCATATAAAAGCTCTATTTACTGAGAAAGTGATACAGAGGATTGAGAAGGACAACGGTTGCAAAATCAAAATGGAGGAGAAATTTATAATTGTTAGTGGAAAGGATAGATTAGTCTTGGCAAAAGGTGTTGATGCTGTGCATAAGGTGATCAAGGGGGAGGGTGATCAGAAGGGCTCTTCTAGTTCTCACAAGAGTAGATCTAGGTCCCCTGAGAGAAGTCCTGTTGGTTCACGGTTGCGACGCTCTGATTCCCAAAGAGTTCACCCACATGATACATCACAATATCATCAGAGGTTTGGCAGACAAGATAAGATTATGGAAGACCATCGTGGGGATCTGCATAAATTATCAAGGGGTTCTCCACAAGGTAGGGACAGCATAGGATATGTTTTCGGCATCCATAGAAAACTGGTAATCCCATGTTTCGTAGTTTGTTAGGCCTCTGCAAGTTTACACGTACATTTGAAGAAATTGTTTCCCCAAATTTTGAGTTCTTAATGATGTGATGTATTGCTTATCATGTGTTTGCAGCAAGAGGTAAGTTCTTATCTTCAAGAATTATGTGTACGATTCTGAAGTATCATTCATTGGTGGGTCTGAAATCATTGGATTGTCTCCAAAACGAAATTATTTACTGAAAGCAAATTCGGCCTTGTTTGCAACGGATGGTTCACTATGTGAATACTAGATAGCATGTCTTATTAAAGCTACCATCTCGAATCCAGTGCTTAACGTACTCTTCATTTGATGAAGCTTATGGTAATGATGGAGGTAGAAGTCACTCAAGCCATTCTAAATCTCCTGCACGTCCCCTTTATGCTGGCAACTCGTATGGTTCACATGATGGTCATAGTCATAGCACAGCTGGTTTTAGAACTACAGGATGGGATACTGAGAGGCGGGGGTCTGATTTGCAATCAGGCCATCGATTTGAATACTCTACTTTCCCTCAGACGTTAGAAGAACTGGAGCTAGAGCACAAAAGAGAGGCAATGGAACTTGCTAGAATTTGTGACAAGGAAGAAGATGATGAAAATTACAAGCATCGTGAGGTATTAAAACTGTCTCAATATTTCTCTAAATGTTTTTAAATTGTAACTAGCTGATTCATATTTCATTTGTTAAACATTATTTTGGTCTCAGAACATATTTGTAATTAAATCAGGAGACTAGCTGTTCCGATCTTTGGTTATTTGTTTCATGTGGTATCTCTCTTAACTGTTTGCTTCTTGTTGTTGAATCTTGTATATGGATAATTGATATAGGGTGGGAAGAAACCAGTAGAAACAGCAAGGAACAGTAATATAATGGCTAGGATTCTTTAATCTTGAAACCAAGCAAAACAACGTAACCTTCACAAAATCATTTAAAAAGTCTCATGCTAATCGTATGGCTCCAAAGCCATAATTTCAGAAATAATTTTATAGAAGGTTCCTGCATATAGACTGTATGAATACCGTGTCAAAGATCATATCATCTTCATTTTTGTGCTTTGTGGTGAAATCTTTAATCATTAAATGAACGAAATGAATCTTGTCTGTTCATAGGCATCTTCTTCTCTTTCTTTATCTTGTACCGGAATTATGTTAGAGAAGTTAATGAGGTTTATTGATGGGGAATAGAGACGGACAGCCGTGGAAATTATAATTTAATTATTTAGGAATGCTAATGATGTAAAAATATTCCAGATGTCTTTCTTGATTCCCCATCATTTATTTGATTTGAGAAGATGAAATGTTCTGTTAAGTTCAAGTGTTTTTTCAAATATGAAATTTTATTTTTTCTAATGAATTTGCTGTGTTGTGGTCTTCATTGTTTGCACAAAACGAAAGTGTCAATCTAAATCTACTCCTCGCTTGCTATACTGTCAGGGAATTCTGATCTTTGTTTGGTCCTGTGGATTTTAGATTATCAGGGAAATTGGAGAGAATTACATGCAGAAATTAGCTATTCTAAGGAGCGCACACACAAGACAGTGGGAGGAGTTTCTTCAACAGGATGCCCAAATGCATCAGCAACAGCCTCGGCAGCCAACTTCTGTGTCTGGTTTTGGTGGATATAAACAGCACTCTTATTCTGAATATGATGCTTCTTCAGCCACTCCTCATTATGCTGGAACCAGTTTAACCATGGATTCAAGGCCCAGATACTCCAATAACATGGAAAATTATTCTTCAAGACCTCACGATACATATGGTGAGTTCCAACATCCGAGGCGTGAGGCTTTTGGGAAAGCATACAATCGATACTGAATTGGTGTGCTGGAACTGAGTTTGGTGAGTTGACTCGCTTTTTAATTAAGTTATGAAAAGTAGATTCCCTTCTTTCTTTTCTACCTCTAAATCTTTCTAAGTTTGCAATCTCCTTTTTACCAACTTTTCTGGGAAGTTTACAATGAAACGATGTAGCTCTTGGGCAATGG